TTAAATAAATTCAAACTGGCTCATCCAGTTCTTGGTTTTCAGTTGTTAGATGTATTATCATTCCACACTGAAAAAAAGAAAACTTCATAATACATATTTAAAATCCTAAATTAATAAAGTTATGCCCATGATCAGTGTGTGTAAGCTTCGGCACAGTATAAAACAAATTGTATAAATCTAAGTATTTGTAAACTGCAGGACTGCAATGAAACAGGATGTAAAATGTATTAAAGTAAAGCACACAGATGGTAAAAAGCTGTAAAATAGTTGAGTGGAAAACAACAACATTCATTCATTTGTAGTTTAGTTGGAATATAATTGGACTGCTAATGAAGGTCAGGTCTGGGTTTCTTAAAAAAACGCTTAACAAAAACATTTAACAACCAGTTGTTGATTACTGGCCAACAGTACAGACCAGTTTAGTTGAACAAATCCAGAGATGCTGTAAGATACGTTATTGTTATCACATGAAGGGAGGGAAAACAAAACCAAAATTACAAAACTGCATTTTAATAAAAAAAAAAAACTTTTACAGTTACATAGAAGAGAAACAATCCTGACCTTTCTAACCACATGTTAGGACTGATTGTTTAAAGATTCTTACCAACATCCTTGTTGGCCCTCCACAGGAGCTCAGAGACAGACAGTTCCTGTGTCAGACAGAGAGCATCAGTCATTTCTCACTGAACGGTAAAGTTCGCTCATATGGATAAGTTTACAGCACTTATTACCAGCAACAAGTAGGGGTATACTGTTTACAAAAATAGTAAATGGTCTGAGCCTATTTAGTGACTTTCTAGTGGTAGAATACAAAGGACCTTTATTTTCCCTCAGTGGGGAAATCCAGGTGTACCAGCAGCAACGTGAAAGGCAAATGGAAGCATGCGGATTTACACGAAGGTAAAAATATAAAAACCAAATAAAGAATAAGACTGTACAGTAAAAGCAAATTTACAACACAAGGAAATAATATGATACATGGATCATAGGCTACTAGGGTTTAGGTGCCATGCCCAAGAATCTAACAACAATTTTCTAAAATAAAAGATGACTACGCTTCTCACTGAGCCACAGCTACCCCAAAACTCTAAATCCTCATATTTATAAAAATTTAATTATTATTAAGCTTTGAATTTGTAATTTAATAGTGTTTAACAAGTTAAAGCTTCTAAACCAAAATAGTTTGTTTCTATCAAGTTACCTTGATAGCAGTTTAAATTTACAACGAAATTCACACAATTGGATATGATTAATGAAAATGATGTATGTGCTCAGTTATGTCCAGCTGTCTAAAATAAAGCATTGGAATCACAGCAGTGCAACAAGACTTGAAAATTCAATTTCACTCCAATTATTTATTTAACTTTGATTCATAACCAGTGTGACCTCAAGGCCTTTTACAAGACAAGCAGCTCTGATTTATCTCTAGAAATATAGAATCAAATCAATCAATGCAATCCAATAAAATTCAATCATAAAGACTGATTTAAATGCAGTTATATACTTTCCACCTGAATAGATCTTTGTGGGTTCATGTAACTTCTGCAAGATGACTTGTGCACTGGATTGTTCGTACAAGCCTATCAAATGCATTGAATCTACTACTGTTGCATTGTGTTTTTGCTTTGTTATTGTTTTCCAATTTTTCTTTTTATTTACACTTTTATTTGTTACTTTAAAAAGTTCTAAGACTAATGTTGCACCATTTAAAGTGTACTACTAGATAAATCAGGATTTTTCACACTAAAAAAGCATAGCTGAAACATTTTAGGACTCAGCTACTATATTGTACTATTGAATTAGAAATTTCTCCCATATGTACCTTACTATCACGTTTTGTCATTTAAATTCAACACTGATCGCACATCCTCACCTTCTCCTCCTCTGCCAAGCAGGATGTGAAGACCACCAGAAGGACGATAACTTTTAACAAGACCATGTTACTAGCCTGCAAAGTACAGCACAGATACCTAGATCTCTTTTAGACTCCCATTTATATGGCACAGTATATTTACACACTTGTGAAATCACATTTGTGTGCTTGGTGATAACAGGCCCATTGCCTTGAAAACAGGCTGTCTATTCCCATGTTGAGCACACTAAGAGAAAAGTGTCTGAATGAGCAAAAATCCTGCTGGGAGAGTCAGCACAGGGTACATCTGGATGTTTGTTGGGGAGAAGCAAGAAGCATTTCTTTTGAAATTTTTAATATAACTAATGGGTTTAAAAAATATATTTTTTAGCTTTTGGTTTGTACATGGGTTATCCCGTATTTATGTACACTACAACAAGCTGCTACTGATTTCCAGTTTTACTGGTTTCTTTGAGGTCTTCTCTGCCGGCTCTAGTTTTGGCCAATTTCAACTTTCTTTCTAAGGACTGTGACACATAGATAATCATTTAAAGAAACTTTGTTTTGAACGTGACAAACACTGAATATGCAAGACAAACAAAGGTCTTTCAAGATTATGCCCATCTGTGCTCAAAGTATATTTCCCTAACCTTTACCTGCTTATTAGAAAACTCATAACAAAGTGCATCAAAGGAACATGCTGTTTGTGGTGCATTTAGAGTTCTTTGCAAAAGTATATCTACCCTATAAACCTCTAATTTTTACGTTAAAACATCGGTTCATTACAAAGCCTCTGGAGAATGTGATGGCTGCTGAAGAGTTGATTCTGGAGTTAATCCTGGATTAGCATATTCAGGTGTTAGGATGACCCAGTCAAATCCAGATGTCAATTCAATTGAGAATTTGTTGCAAGACCTGAAAATTGCTGTTTGCAGACACAGAGCTAAAGCTATTTTACAAAGAGGAATGGGGATAAATCTCAGTCTCTAGATGTACAAAAGAGGTGAAGATACACCACAAAATATCTGCAGTTTCAGCCAGAGGTGATTCTACAAAGTATCTCTTCACTTGGGGAAAGGTGGAGTCACCAGCATGCCCTCTGTGCCAGAAGAAAGGAACTCTTGAGCACATTCTCAGCAGCTGTCCAAGAGCCCTGAGTGAAGGGCGCTACCGCTGGCATCATGATCAGGTCCTCAAGGCAACAGGGGATACCATTCATAATGGGATAAGCTCTGTAAGAGCCTTCGTCCAGGGAAGACAATAATGTTTGTCAGAGCCGGGGAAAAGGCCATAACATCTGCTCGGAATACCTCCTCTGGACTGCTGGCAATGGCTCATGACTGGGAGTTGAAAGGTGACCTGGGAAGGCAGTTGAAATTTCCTGAATCGATTGCAAAAACATTGTTAAGGCCAGACGTACTCACATCAGGAGCCGAGAGGCAGGTAATTCTCTTGGAGCTCACTGTGCCTTGAGAGGACTGAATTGAAGAGGCTAATGAGAGAAAGAGGGTGAAGTATGCCGAGCTAATGGATGAGTGCCGGAACAAAGGATGACGGGCAAAGTCAACCTATCGAGGAGGGTTTGTGGGACATTCCCTCTGCAGGGTTTACAGGATGCTGGGCATCACTGGAGCCTGGCAGCGAAGGGCCATCAAGTTGGCCACTGACGCAGCAGTAGTGTTGAGGTGGTTGCGGATCAGGATGGGAGAGGCAAGGGTAGGGTAGCCCTTCCTGGGCACAGGCTGGGGCTTGATCAACACTGGTAGGGTCACCTGGCGAAGGGGGTCTGATTGTTGAAAGACCCAAAACCCCCTATGATTCCAGGATACCAATGATGTGTCCAGGAGATCCACAAGATGGTGTATGTTGAAGGGTGGGGCTGTACACAAATGCATGTCACAGTTTTTTGTTTAAAAATAATTGATATTGTAACTTGTACTTCATGTTTACAGTGTACCACACAAACAAAAAGTAGGAGTTGTCATGCATTTTTCAGTATTTGACCTCATCAAATACTGCTTTTCTTCTGCTGCACATGCTGATTGTTTTTGACTGAAAGGAAGGAATCTGTTACCACTTGAATGGAGGTAAAACATCTGAAATAGTTTAAGAGACTTCACACTCTTAACTTATCCATGTTTACAGGGGCAATGGATGGGGCCATGTATTAAGAAAAACCCTTCTTGCAGCCAGAAAACTGAAGATGGCTCGTTTTCCAGGACTACAACAACTAAAGATACACCACTAAGGCAACATAGACTGAACTAGCCAGTCTCCAGAACTCAGTACTACAGAAAAATAGTACTAAATCATGTTTTGTTTTACCTATTTTACTCAGTGATTTTTAGACTGTTTTTTTTTTCAGTTAACCTTTCTCTATAAATTAAAATTGCCATTGAAAATAGAAAATGTTAATTTCTTTGTAGGTTATCGAGTGATGAAACACTTTCCTTCGGTACAGGTGAAATATTTTGATCAATTTAGATTCTGAATGATCCAACTGATGAGTAACTTTGGACTTAATGGGTTGACGTCCTGTATTTACAGTAGGATTTGATTCTAAGATCAGAATTCAAGGACAGAGTGTAAAGCTAGGTTTCTGTTTTGTTGAAACCTTGCAATGAATTTAGAGAATGAAATCAGATCTAATGCTATCAAAAAACCTATGTGATAGTGCATTGTTGGGAGTAGTGATAAGCCCTTGGGTGGAAGTATCCTACTGCATCCATCAGCAGTAGAGGCATCATGCCTAAACACTCAAGCTCAAGTTTTACAAGCACAGTAAAAGTGACATAGTTTAAGAAAGTCACTATATAAACACACATGAGATTCAAATTGTTTCATTCAAACAGAAATTCAGATCTGTAAATGTAAAGACAACATAATCTTCATATTATCAGTAAGGTTGGGCATAGAGCTTTGAGAATCAATTGGAACCAGGACTAACACTTCGTTTCTTCTAGAATTGTTAGAATTTAAAAACTTTAAAAAAAAAACCCTAAACACCAACGACAAAGAATCTGTAGGAAGTGTATGTGCAACCATGGACAGGATGTGGCGATGGTCAAAATCATGGCTTGACTTTAATAAGAGAAATGACCAGTCGGTTCAGTACAAAACTCACAATAAAATAATATAATGAAGTTTGGGCATGGCGCTGGTGGTGTAGGGGTTAGCGCGTGACCACATATAGAGGCTATAGTCCTCGAAGCGGCCGTCCCGGGTTCGAGTCCCGGACCCGTGACCTTTGCCAAATGTCTGCCATGACTGACTGGGGGTTTGGTAAAAAGAGCACAGAAGCACTGATCCAGGAGTACTTTCTATGTTAAAGAAAAAGTAAAAATATAATGGCAGCATTTTCTCCTTTCCTAAAAGCTTGTGGTATGTGTCCAATTACTAAATTTAGATAAATATCTGTAATGGGCCGGTAATCAAAGGAAACACTTCCTTAGAAAATTTAGGTTTAGCTCAAAATAAGTTCTAGATAAAGTTAATAGTTTTGAGAATTCAGATAGCTTAACTGAATCAAAATAGTGCCAACACTGATCAGGTCCTAGTAATTTCTAATGATACCTCACTTACTGAAGAGCTAGTTGACATGTTCGGAAGGATGCCAGTAAATTTATTTGTAATAGAGTCAATTTTACTTAACAAGGAATTAAGTAGGGCTTCTCTAGATGTGTAGAGCGCCATTTTCTTTCCAGTTTCCTAGCATTATGCTTTAAACTATGTGAGTCGGAATTAAATCAGGGAGCAAAACTCCTAAATTGTTCATTCTGTATGCTCCTAATTTTATCCTCATACTTTCTCCAATATACATACCTTTTATACTTCACGTTGTTGCTCTGCACTAATGTAGATGGTGACAAAACCTTCTTTTTCAAGGGGTTTACATTGTCTAATGCAACATGCAATGAGTAGTAACACCATGAACTAAAAAACTATTTGTGAGGGGATATAAAGTAGGTTGCTGCCTTGTTGTGCTGTCCTCTGATACTGAGGAATAAAAAATGGAACAGATACTTTATAAGTTATAGCATTTTCTGATAAAGATCTATTACAATGAAATGGTCTCAGATGCAGTGTACTCAGTCAGATTAAACTCAAAATTATGGTCATACAGGACGGGGTTACAAGGAAATACTGGTATTTGCTCACACTCACTGCCACATGTCAGCATAAGGTCCAGAGTATGAAGACAAGAATGGGTAAGTCTGCAAATGTTTAGAGAAAGAATTCTACAAATACGTAGGTCAAACAAACAACAGGGACAAAGCATGTAAATCAAGAGAACAGAATCAAATGGTAGAGGTAAAAAAAAATAGTTCAGGTACCATTACGTGTGCGCAAAATGGCAACAGATTAGTTTATAAACTGGAGGACCAAATTTGAAAAATTTAACCTCTGCCCACACCCAAAGACATTCACCTATAGTCTAGAGTGGCAGTTTTAAATTATAGCCGGCATGAAAGTTCTAAGAGTTCTTAGTTTTGGTCTAATTTCGTTTTATTTTTTAAATGTTTTTGTAGCACTAGTGGCCTTTATTTGCAGTATTGAGATGGCAGATGGCTACAAGGAGTCCCACTGAAGTTAGTGCGACTAGCTATTGGAAGGTGGGGCATCTGTACCTTTTTCTCACAATACACATTGCTGTTAAAAAACGTTTTTTTAAGAACTGAATATTACATGGGGTGTTCTCATGTTTTCACACAACTGTAACTGTGTAAAAACTGGTTGTACAAACTGCAACAATCCAGTCAGATAAGTCCAGAAATTGCCCAGCTGCTCAACCTCTTATTCATGTGTTTAGTAGCAACTGGTACTGTTGAGTGTAGTATCAGTTGAACTAAAAGTACTGAGAAATTCCATAGCTGTTTTGGTACGAGTAGAGGGAAATGTTACAAACAGCCAAGATGGGTACCTTGACTAAGTACCACATAGAAACACAAACACAAAAAGGTTTACAATAGTGAATTTAACATTTATTCAGGTAATAAAAGCAGCAATGAGACAAATAAAAGCACAATCAGTTGAAAACTTAATCAGTCTCGCAAATATTTTTATCATTTCAAACAATCTTCTGATTTAGTAAAGACTTCATTGATAATTCCATAATTTGACTGTGTCCTGGGTTTCTGAAAACAGAGGCCTGCTGATTCTAATTATTAACTGCAGATGTTTGAAGCTTTGGGAGGATCAGAAGGACAAGTTGATGAGTGGAGCATTGTTCTCTTTTTTATCCTCTGGACTCCACTTGATAAGAGGAGAGCTCAGGTCAATTAGCTGGAAAGACAAAAAATTAAATATTGTAATCACATTAACATGTATTCATTAAATACAGAAATTAACTTTAAGTGAATCTGCTTTATCTATAAGTATAAAGTCAACAACTTATTATTTCAGTGCCTTCTCATTTATTTGATCAGGATTGCATGTCAGAAAATGGTATATTTCTACAGTATTTAACAAAAAGGTATTAAATTGATTCTTTTTGTTTTATGTACCAAAACCATTTGAGTACAACATAAGTATCAAAGTTCACTTCTTGAGGGCCAGTGTCCTGCTGAAAGTGTCCCTAAACACACCTGAATCAAATGGCTGAACGGCCTGTATTTGACTCAGGTGTGTTAAAGCAGAGACTCATCTAAAGGTTGCAGGACACTGGCTCTTGACAACCATGTTGTGCAAGGCTTGGTATGTCCCCCTTGTGTCCTTAGTAGGAACTGCAAAACAAGCCAAGCTGCTGGGTGCAATGTTAAAAAGACTACTACTCTTTTTACCTTTTAAAGCTAAAAACTGCATCAGGCACAGTGTCTGATACCTTTGAGGATAAATAGGAATGTTTTAATGCCAAACATGTTGCATTAGTTTGATACTAACCTAAGCTCTTTACTAGGTAAACCTTCTGATCAGAAAAGACCAAACACCTGCTACCTCAAACCAATACCCACTTGTTCTGAGAATCACTCAGATTCAACTCTACCAATAGCTACTCCACCAGACCCCACTTAAAAACGTTGTGTAATTCCTTGGAACCCATTTGCTGTCCTGTCACAGAACAGGTATAAATGGCACCACAGTAACGTCTACTAACTAGAAGAAGGACCAAAGGGTACATGTACAGCCAAAATGCTGGGGTTGACATTTGAAACTTTTATGTGTTTACTTCAAAGGAGAAATGGAAATAAGATAGTAGTTTATATGTTATAAAGTACCCTGATGTTAGTTAGATAGACGGAGTCTTGTTTATGAAACACTGGCTGATTCCCATAGGCTAAATCCCAAGTCTGCCATTCCCTCTTTACTCTAAACCCTACATTCCCGAGGAAAATGTGTTTCCCAACCGTTTTTATGGATTCGGGTGAAACTTGATCAGTTTTGTGTGATCAATATTTATTATTGTTATTGTCAATCATAAAATGTTGATGAACAGTCAATTTTAAATATTTTACCAAAGCAATAGGAATCAAATCCTTTTTAGAATTGCTGACTAGCTTTTACTCAGTTTCCACAGGTATTTTGACAGTTTACACTGGTATTATATCTTAAGGTTGGATCTTTTCAGCGTATTATTTTAGCAGCATCAGTTCAATAACATTTGATTTAGCTCAAATACAGATGCTTGAGGTAAGTTTAGTTATGGTAAAGTTAAAGAAGCAAAGTTACTGATTTTCTTCTGAATTTTTTCCTTATAATTTAAAACGCATCCAGCAACAGATACATTTTCCCTGTATACAGGTGGTTGTGTAATCTACAGGAATCAATTGGTGTGTTTTTTAAGTACAGTCACTGAAGAACCAGTTAACATACTCACTGTTTCTGAGGTGGGTTGTTGCACTTTGTACATGCACCCATTTTGATGGCAGCTGTACATTTAAACCACTGTTATTTGTGCTGCTTAAAAGGACTAAAAGAACATGCTGCGTTAAAAAGGACCACTAATACCCATTTTCCACTGGCTTGATCTGGCCCTACTCCACTCGGTTTCCATTACTGTTTTTTTCCGTACCGTTAGCTACTTTTTTGGTCCCTGCTCCTGAGCAGGTAAGATCAGGGCTGAGTAGGGACTACATGTGACGTGACCAGCGTGCTGTTCACTGATTGGCCATGGGATCAGGAGAAAGGAGAAGGTTTTCGCTGAGGTAGTGCAGAGAAAAGTTAATAAAACTCAAAAGCAACTGCAATAATATTAAGGACCACATCTGCCGGAGCGTTTCAAACCGAAATATAATTTTACTATTTCCACATCATAAACCAGGCCTGAAGGCTGAAGGAAGTTTTGTGTTTTAAAGTCCTTGTCCTTGTTATTATCATGGCCGAGACAAAAACCTCCTCATAAAGCCCAAAACCATAACTTCTTCAGGCAAACTCTGCAGCATTACCAGTCTCAGCTTCTCCTCTCACACAGCGTTCACATCAGAACCCCTGAGCCTTATTTTATAAGTTCTGGCTGGGCTTTGGTCCAGATTATTATTCAAGTGGATCATTTTATACATGAAAAAAATACGACATTCTTGCTTGTACAATACATTAGTATTTAGTTTATGTTTTTATTTTCTATTTAATTATTTATTTTTTATCATTTCACACAGATTACTTTAATGTGACAATGTCACACATAACGTTAATCGCAGCACAGCGCACGGCACTGGAGGCTGGAGCTTCAGCCGCCATAGCTCCAGCCATTAGGGTTTCAATGCAAACACATCAGGTACCATACAGAGTGGAGCGAAACAGACTGGACCGGAGCCACGGCACCTAAAAAGAGCCAGTGGAGTTAAAACAAGTTTGTATTTAACGGTATTGTTCAATGTTTCTGAATAAAATAAAATTGGAACTTTAAAGGTTTATTGTGACCTTATAACACCTGATAGTGTTGGTTACAAAGAAAAAAAAAAAAAATCACCAGCTGCCAGAATCAGCAGGTCAGGCTTTTTAACGATGAGAAATCTATGACTGGCCAGAAAACTGCAATTGGTGCACCGCTAGTAATTTATCTAAATGAGTTTCACTTTCTGAAATGGGTGACAAAAATATTTAACTTTTTTTTAACTGTACTTGCTTAAAATTGATGTTTAGTATATAAAAAGGGAAGGTTCAGTTCATCTTTCTTGTAGTACAATTGTGTGAAATAGGTTATACAAACAAAAGATGTGGCTGACTAAATAGGATTTTTATAGATTTAAAGCTAAAGTTAAATATTTATATTAATAATTATTAGGATGAAAATGCTCTGAAAATAGGTGCTGATTG